ACATACACACATACATACATACGCACATACATACATACATACATACATACATACATACATACATACCTAGAGATAGAGATAGAGATAGAGATACAGATACAGATACAGATAGGTACAGACATAGGTGTAGATGTAGACATCCTTTATACTAGATATAGATATAGATATAGATATATGTATACATATATATATATATATACATACATACATAATCATTTATTTGTTTATAGCTCGCACATATGTGAAACAAAGAAACGTACACGAACAAGCAAATGCACACTACATAACTAATATATATATATATATACACATACATACATACATAGATATTTTCTTGACACACATCTAACATATGCTCAGCCGGCATCGGAAAGCTACGTGATCATACAGATAAAGATATCCTCCCAATGCTAAGCCATCCTAAGCCCATTAAGCCGAAGATTATCACAATTCAACACTAAGCCCCAAAAATAAAACCCCAAATCCTAAGACCAAGAGCCAAGCAGGCTTCCTATCCAGAAGTGGAATTTCTGCTACTGAGAACCCAAAAAAACCCACAAAACTTTGCCGCCTGGATCTTCTTGAAGGCGGCGGGCCACTGCCTGCACGCTTGGGTTCAGGTTTAGGGTTTCGGGGTTTAGGATACAAAGGTTTGGGGCTCGCGAGTGTTTGGGGTGTGGGGCGGTTCTACGGTGGATAATGCTGCCTCATGGCGATGTTTGCTGTCACTGCTGTCATTGCCTTGCGCAAGCACTGCCAGTCAGCAGCATCTTGATTACCATGGGTTCGGAACAAACAAGTTCAAAGTGTTAAACCCTTTTCACTACATGCACTGCCGCTCCGTGCTTATGCCACTCATAGTGCCTGCACTCATTTAGCATTGTCACCATCCTTGCTGTCGCTGAAAACCCCTAGAATACAATCGTTCTCCTTGCTTTCTTTTGCTTATGCTAACTCTCTTGTTTACCAGTACTACGGTTGCTAAGAACATGACCATGACGACGAGTACGACTACTGTAAACCGTATTGACGCCGCCGGTTGCATTGTTCTTGTGGCCATGTCATTAAGGTCATTACGGTGCTCGTATATTTGCCATGCACCTTCGACTAGCTCGCTCCGACCCTGAACGAGTTGCACATGATGCATGGTATTCTAGCTCACGAAGCTTGTCTCTAAGAAGAGAGTTTCCCAATCCACGCAAGCGGCGTCATCGTGGCGCCGCTTTCATCCCTCATGCTGTCCACCGGGATTCTGACCTGGCAGATTCGAGGAAAAAGGACATGCGCAGGGCGACCAGAAGCAGATTCTCATACACCAAAACTACAAATTGAAGGGACGTCAAGAAAACCCACCATTGCCTGGTAAGTGTTTCCCATGATGGTCTGTCCCAGCATCGGCGCCGGTGCTGGCTGCCCCTCACTACCCTCACCGATGGGAGCAGCATACATTGCACCCTCGCTGGCAGTAGGGGCGGCATACATTGCACCCTCCATAGCCGCGGGAGCAGCGTACATTGCGCCCTGCGGCATCTCAGGGGCGGCGTACATTGCACCGGGTGGCACCTCGGCCGCGGGGGCGGCATACATGGCGCCAGGTGGCACACCCTCGGGAGCAGCGAAGACGTAGCCGGGGCCGGGGGCAGCGTCAGCTGGCAGCTCCGTGGGCACGGGCTCAGTCGCGGTGGGGACGGCATACATGAAGCCTGGGCCGGGTGCAGCCTCGGTTCCTGGAGGCGCAGCATACATGTAGCCGGGGCCTGGTGGTTGGGTCAACGGACCGGGCTGCACGGTGCCGGGTGTGACCTGGGGGAACTGGCCAGTTACAGGCTCCATCAGCATCTGCTGGCCATCCGGAAGCGTCGTCACCTCAGATCCATCTTTCGCTGAATGACTCTTCCCGCCAGCCGGAGCTTTGCCAGCAAGCGCACTCGGCAACTCTCAGACTTGGGGCCGCGGCGGTGTTCATTGTTGCTGCCATGTCTGCAAATAGAACCTTGTCAGACCATGAACTGATGCAGCACTTGAAAGTCTCTGACACTGCGCAGCTTCTCCGTCGAAAACAGAAGGGAACGGGTAAAGCTGCCGTGCCGAGTAGGCCAGGGCCCGGGCAGGGCAGAAGAATCGAGTGCGAGATGATGCGAAAAATTGTAAGTTACTAGACTCGTGCGCAAGTCTGCTGTCGGACATGAATCAGCAGTGCTAGATGTTAGGGATGAAACCCTACATTGCAGATAAAATTCCAAGATCGCTGAGTCAAAATGGCTGCAGGACAAGGCCTACAGTGCCGTCGGAACTGCTTTGCTGCTGCATGTGGCGGCTGCATTGGGGGTGACCACAACAGCTCCCGCTGCCACACAAACGAGTGTTGCTACTTACTGCTGCTGCTTTGACCGTATCTCGACTGCTACCAGCACCTCTGCCACTGCTCATGAAGTGATGCCAGCATTCTTGCGACTACGCCATGCGCATATGATACCAGTGTCGCTACATTTCTGACATCCAAAGCCTGAAAAAGCCTTGACTCCAAGCCGTTGGCTCGCATAAACAATCCTTTTTTCTGGGAAATCGCAGAATGAAGCTCGTTTGCAGGTCGATCGACATCTGGGCCAATCAACATGTCGCAACTGCTGCGATTGATGCATGCAAATTGGCCTTCCAGCAATGTTGAAACATCGTTCTTATCGTCGCTCATCTGCAGAGAATTTATGGCTACAAGACTGTGCATACGAAGAAAGGTCCGAGTGTTCTACGAACTTCTAGCAGCCATTTGGACATGTCACCCCACTCCTGCTCGCTGACCTTCGGAATGCACCAGCTTCTCCTGAATACACAAGTTCAACTGGAGATCTCGACAGCAGCAAGTCTCAATTTAGGTGAGCCCTAATTTCTCAACTCGACTCTAGACCCAACAACATCCGAACTCTTTTGATTGAACCTCGAAGCCTTCAAGCCGTTTGAAGCAACAACCCCAACAAGACTCCACATGGCTGGATGGGGAGGATTGTGCGCCTACGAATTGTCGCGCTCCACCCCAAGTCACTCACTCCATTTACGACCTTATGGAGCTTAATAAAGTGTTCACATATGAACTTAAGGATGCCCCCGTCTTATTTCGCTTGCATTTCGGACGATGGGTTTCTGGGTGCATAAGGGTAGGGCCGTTTTGTCTTCACTTTCTGACCGAATTGCGATAAAGTCTGTACTGCTTTGACAAGCACACAGAGTCTCTTGTAGCCCCCCTAACTCCATTGAAACGCGTCCTTTCAAGCTGTGCCGATTCAAACAAATTCACGAGCATCAGCAGCGACAGCTTCCACCCAAAACGAACCTGTGGCTATCATCATATCATATCATATCATATCATATCATATCATATCATATCATATCATATCATATCATATATCACCATCATATTCATAATCATCATCATCATACAAAACGCTGCATCATGAGCATCAGCCGCGACAGCCTCCATGTACTGACCCAAGAAGAGACAGCATCATAAGCATCAGCTGTGACAGTTGCGACTGAGTTGCCACAAGAATCTCTGCAAACGAAGCATCATGAGCCTCAGCTACACCAGTAATCTGCGAAGCAGCGGAGCATCATCATCTTCTTCTTTATCATCATCATCATCATCGTCTGCTGCAACGATTTCTTTGCAACAACTGCTGCAAACACCGCATTATGAGCATCCGCAGCGACAGTTGCGGTTTACCACCGGCTGGGACAGCATCATGAGCATGAGCCCCCGCAAACACAGCATCATGCACATCAGCCCCAGCAGCTTCCCCATGCTAACCCCGCATCCACATAAGAATTCCGGCAGGCACAGCATCATCAGCATCAGTCGCAACAGTTCCCCCGCTAACCCCGCCACGAAGCATCATGCGCATCAGCGATGACCGTCTGAAACACAAGAGCCCACATCATGAGCATCAGCAGCCGTCGTCAACAGTTTCCACACAAGAACACATGCAAACAACACCACATAAGAACAGCAGCCCCGCGACGACGGTTCCACGCAGTAATACCGGTAATGGACAGCATCATAAGCATCAGCTGCCATGTTCTTCACACAAAAATTCCTGCAAACACTGCTTCATGAACATCAGCCACGACGATTTCCATGCGATATAGTAACCTCGCCAGGGGCAGCATTATTAGCAACAGCTGCAACGGTGTCCACGCAACAAGTACTGCCAAATCCCGTATCATGAGCATCAGCCGCGAGGGTTCCATGCACCAACACCAGTAAGGACAGCATTGGTATCCCCTGCAAACACCGCATCATGAGCATCAGCCACGACACGTCAAGCAAGGACAGCATCATGAACATCAGCAGCGACAGTTTCCACGTGAGAACGCCGGACAGCATCATGAGCATCAGCTGTACTGTAGTGGTTTTCCCAAAAAACTCGCAAACACCGCATCACGAACATCACCGCGCCGGTTTCCAAACACTAGCCCCCCGGCAGGCACAGCATCATCAGCATCAGTCGCAACAGTTCCCTCCGCTAACCCCGCCACGAAAAGCATCACGAGCATCAGCAATGACCGTCTGACACACAAGAGCCCACATCATGAGCATCACCAGCCGTCGTCAATAGTTTCCACACAAGAACACATGCAAAGACCGCATAAGAACAGCAGCTCCGCGCCGACGGTTCCACGCAGTGATACCGGCAATGGACAGAATCATGAGCATCAGCTGTCATGGTTCGTCATGAGCATCGGCTGTAGTGGCTTCCAAGCAAATAAAAACCCGCAAACACCGCATCATGAACATCAGCCGCACCGGCTTCAAAACACTAGCCCCGCCATGGACAGCATCATGAGCATCAGCTGCGACAGTTTCCACATAAGAACTCCGGCAGGTACAGCATCATCAGCATCAGACGGAACAGTTCCCCCGCTAACCCCGCCATGAAAAGCATCATGAGCATCAGCAGTGACCGTTGACAACCACCGCATCATGAGCGTCAGCCGCAACGGTTCAACGCACTGACACCGACAAGGACAGCATCATGAGCATCAGCTGTACGTAGTGGCTTTCAGCCGGGACGGTTTCAAAAAAAAACGCCGCCAGCGATGGCATCATGAGCATCAGCTGCAACCTTTTCGAAGCAATAATCCCTGCAAACTCCGCATCATGAGCATCAGCCGCGACAGTTTCGCACTATCCCCGGCAGGAACAGCATCATGAGCATCAGCAACGACATTTTCCAAACAGAAAGCTCGCAAACACAGCGTCATGAGCATCAGTCGCAACAGGTTCCCGTGCTAACCCCGCCACTCGACAAGTATCATGAACGTCAGCCGGGACAACCATCCCTGCAAACTCTACACCATGAGCATCTACCCCGACGCGCGTGTTTGTGTGTGTGTGTGTCTGTGTGTGCTTTACAGTGCAGTGGCCTACGTCCCGAGAGGTGGCTTGCTGCACCAACTGGCCGCTGCAGCGGGGAGAAAAGAGTTGACGTCAGCACGGCCAGCCAGCGCAGCTGACCGGTCTGCACCCTTGCAACTTCCAAGAGGAAGCAAGTCTCCGATGGATTCCACGCAATTACTCCGCCAGAAAGAGCATCATGAGCATCAGGTGTGCTAGTCTTCAAGCGTCATCGGGAAAAAAAACAGCTTACGGCTCTGACACGGTGACCCTGGCTTCAGTCAGCCTGATCCACGACAGCCGGGTGGGCGCGCGGCTGCGGCTTTAGGGTTCAGGGTTTAGGGCTTAGGGGCTTTTGGGATAAGGGGTTTAGAGCTTCCTGAACCCTAAACCCTGAACTTTCAAATCAAGAAGCCAACAGCGACACGAACGGGCATGACTCCGTAGAAGCACGGCTGCGAAAGCTAGACTACAGTTGTAGTTTGTGCTTACTGAACTGTAGCACCACAGATAGTTCCCGGTTCTAGCATACCAACTTCGGCGTACAAATCATAAACCTTGCCTCCGAACCGCTAGAGTACTCTGTATTGCGTCAATGTGCGAAAATCATCCGTGGGGAGCAGTTTGGATAGAGCAATCTGAACTGTGCTCGTATACGCGTCCGGGCCTGGATTTGCTTGAAAGTTGCCAGCCACTGCCTGAGACATCCCACTCACACACTCGAAGATTCGATACACAATCGGAAGACACACGGGGGAGTATGCACACAAGTTTCTTGACACGCACATCACGACCCATTCTATAAAAAACACCCGACAAGTTGCCGCTCCTACCACTCAGGAGCTCAAGCAGAAGAACACGAGAAATGCCGTAGGTGAGATGCATCGGCCTTTCTTTGATGCCGGTAAGGTTACAGCGTGGCTTGCTAGATTCTTCATATAGTACGAACTCTCTAGCAATAGCAGGATCCTACAGCTTACAGAAGCACATCCTACGAAGCTGAATGGTCCTTCGCTGTGCAGTGTGTTCGGTGTCGGAACCAGGCACCAGGAACAATGGACTTCGGAATGCCTGAGGCTGCAGCGGGCTAGATAAGTCTCTTCAAGCAGCTCCCTGAGGGCTCCAAGCGCTTCACCATTCGCTGAGACGTTGATCTCTCTTCACTGTAGATTGCCAAAGTATATTAAAGCTGAGTATGGAAAGCAAAGCTATACGGCCAGGAGTCTGCATGATGCCAAGTATTCATGTTGCGTGCTAAGCCTGTCCAAACAGCTGCGGGCACGATAATATAGGGTCCTTGGTAAAATTAGAATAAGGCTTTGAGCTCCCTTATGATGTAAATATAATAAGGACCCTAAGGAATAATATAGGCAACCATGTAGGCTTCTAGATTGACCTGCTGCTTCCGCGCAGTGAACGATTGCTTTGGGGTTGGGAGGGATGCTCAGCTGCTCACACACCCTGCTCAATGCCGCTTCAAGCCTAGAATCATAATCAGCAACCCAAAGTAGCACTGGTAGTTTTACTGGTGTTCTGTCGAATGCCCAGTAGAGCACACTGTGAGCCTCAAGACTTTGGATACCCTGAAG